AAAAGGTTCAACCGGGGGGGGGGGGGAGTGAGGGAGGGGAATCACTGCTACACATGGAATCACCCAATTATCACTTTTCTAAATCTGAACTGACCTGTAAAAAGGTTTAGCAAAGCTCAAGTTAACCAAAATGAACTACACAGCACATACTAACCCTAACAATATGGCATTACAGTGATCACCTGGAGTCAGCACCACCACTGTACTTAAAGGGGGAAACTGGATCACACATGCCAATAAGTCAGTGATCTTTTGGACAGCTAACTATGCTCATTAAACAGCCTGTAATAAGATCTAGTCCCCATATGATTCTGAATGTCAAGACTCAGAGAAAGGGAACTTATTCCCACCAAAAGTAACAATAGCTGAAAGTAGTCAGGGTAATGCAACTGACTCGTATTAGAGCTCAAATCACAGAAAGGGATGAAGAAAAAGCAAGTGGAATGCAAATGCCTACACCATACAGATTGCAAATGTAGTCCCAAAAACTCTAGGGATAAGGAAAGGAGCAAGAGAAGGGAAATATTACCAGAGGTCTTGAGACCACTCAGATGCAATGATAATCATCAGCATCTGAAATGCAAGTTGGTTAGGGGGCAGAAGGCAGCAATCACCACAAACAGGTTTCAGATTGCAGAGTAAATCTCTCAGACCATCACAGCTGTGCCACTCTCAGCTATGAAGAATTATGTAAAGAAACTATGCACTACCCACAAGAGGGTTGCTGCATGTAAACTCAATTTATGTTCATAAAGAGCTCTGACCTCCAAGTTACGAAGTTACTTGTTATGCTGTCAACACCTTTAGTAAACCTACCATCTACTTGTTTCGCTATCCTTGTAGGAACAGTCTCATGACCTCAGTGATCTATTAGAGATGTGAAAATCCTTTGGAAAATTCAGAAAGTGTATTTTTTGCACAAGTAGGAAGAACTCTCTCACAGTTCATCTTTACTGCATCAAGAGCTTAGGCAGTTTTAACCACTCTGCTAAAAATACTATTTCCAATTCATCGTATGATCCTGAAAGGTCAACCCTGAGTTGTCTGCTCTTGATTTCTATACCTTGACTTACTGGAGTTGAATCTATAAAACTAAATCAGACACCTTTTTTCTGTACAAAGTCCTTTGGGAAACACATCACTCACCTATTCCCTATTTTCTTCTTACACACAGTGCACACCTTCTCCTCCGTGATGATACATTTTACCTGCTGATGCAAGATCCGCTCCTCCTGAACCTGCAAAAGAATGAGAAGTTGGTTAGAAAACAATACTGCGCCAAAACCACCTTGCCATATTAGCCAATCCATCTTTATATTCCCTGATCTCTTGAAATGTGGAGTTGTGATGTACTGCTTAGCATGTATCTGCTAATTTTGGCTACACCACAGCATCATCTAGAGAACAGGTCTTTCCCATATCTAAAAGGACAGAACTAACTTTTTAGTATTTACATAAATTTCTTGGAAAAAAAAATCACTCCATAATACATGATGCATAGGTAGGTACATACCCTAAGGAATTCTGCATGGAGAAGATTCTTGAGTACTTGATTGAATCGCTTCTTCTGGGCATTTTCCTCAAGGACCTTTTCTAGGAAGATTCTAATCTCGCTAATTTGTGTATTTGCCGGGAGCAGATTTATTGCCTAGTATAGACAAGAATGAGTCAGAAAAGGAGCATAAGGGAACCAAATTGGGAAAGAGTCATTTTAGCCAGATTCTTTTAGGAACTGAACATACCCCTATTCCTGTATCTTTTATTCTGCTCCCCCAAGTTCTACAGATATTCACACCACATATGACAAAAGGCTTCTTTACCTTAGTGGTATCCAATTTGCTGTGGTGCAATTCTAGAACCTGCAAGGCAGCTGGGAGATTGGTTTCAGGCTTTGGCAGTTCCATCTTGATCGGCCCCACACAATGAACACTAGGTGGTGACAGATACATTCGGAGCAGAGACAGATACACCTGTTTAACACAAATAAAATGAATGCACTGAAATATGGTTAGCATATACTGCTGTATTCAAACCATTATGGGAGACCTTTGCAATACACCATAACACACGTCAGACAAGAATTTTGACAAGATGTTGGCTTGTGTAGCTCTTGTATACTAAACATTTTTCAAGTCTTTTACTACTCGTGTTTTATGCTGTAAGGAAGATGTAAAATGATACCTTTCCTCCCTCAACATATGCTGAGAGCATTTGAACTGAGTTATTGTCTTTAAAACACCAAACCAAGGTACACGGGCTTTTTCTTTTTTTTTTTAAACCTCTTCAACAACAGGCCTCAGAAGTATGAATTCTGGATTCTGCCCCAACTTGTATATCATCAGAACTTTGCCCAGATACTCCCAAACAGAAGATCCACAAAATGTACATGAAACTGTATTGGGGATCCTGCCTGCCCGAGTCATTCTGCATGAACTTCTACAAGAGGCAGCATTTTAACAGGCAGTCAGATGACATTCAGACACTTCTCTCATAAAAAGCAAGAATTCGAAAATAAAGCTACTCACATCTTTGCTACCATCTTTGTTTCTGTCATAATGTTTGTGGCAGTAACTAGAACAGAGAAGAATTAAGTGTAAAGCAGAGACAGTGTTGAAACCCAGAAGTACATAAGGCTAGGGACAGACATTACACAAACTGGTTTAAGTGATCAGAAACTGGTTTAAACTTGTAACAGAACAGATGTTCAGTGCATAGAAACCAGTTTGAAAATGGCTGAAACCAGTTTGAGATAAACCTGGTTGAACATAGCATAGCATCAGACTTAACTGATTTGGCTCAAACCAGTTTATGCAGTATCTGTCCCAGACCCCTTGCTGGTTTAAGTTAAATCAGAGTCCCCCAGCATCCCAGCATGTTCTCTGGGCTGGGAAGGGCTCTCTGCTCCACAGCGGGGCTGGCCCCTCCCCTCTGCTCCCTAGCTGGAGCTCAGCACAGACTTGCAGGCACAGCAGGGTCTGCCTGGCTTCCCTGTGTTCCCCTCCCTTCTCCCCACCACTCGCTGCTTAAGCAGAGATCCCTTTCTCCTCTTTGCCACAGCAGAGACCATAGCCAGCATGCAGTACACTAGCTAATGCCAAGAGGCGTCTCTGTGCGAGTCTCTCTCCAACTTCACTGGGATAGGCAGACAGAACACTGACTGCTTAGGGCCTTTGGAGCTAAATCAACAGGTCAGCCAGTAAGCTGTTTAAGTTTGAAGTAATAAGGAGAGAAGGTATTGTTTTGCTAATCAGGTGATAAAGACTGTTATCAGCCCTCCCCCTCAACCTTGGTTTACTCGCCTGTCAGGTTGCTGCAGACAGTATGTTGATGCAGGGAGACTGAAGCCTTCTGTATCATCAACAAATATATATACTGCAAACACCACCTTGCCTCAAAAGCTGGGGGCTACCAATACTCCCAACCCCTTAAGCAGCCAGCGGGGAAAAGCCTGGGACTAGGCAGGCAGACCCCCCTAATGAGAGAATCCTGCTGGAGCCTGGCTACACCCCTCTCAGCTCAGCTCCCTGCAGAAGGGAAGGGAGGACTGCTCTAGCACCCCCCCCCACCCCCCCAAGCTTCTAGCTTGAGCTACTGCGGGCATGTGCCTGAATTTCTTCAGTCCAGAGAGAATGCCTGTCCAGTTTCAAACCAGTTCAGCCTAGTCAGGTTAGACTAACCCGCAGAGATTGAATGAATTCAGGTCTCAGGCTTTTTGAATGTCTGTCCCTAGCCTAAAAGTTATATGTACTCCACTCCGCATAGCTCAGACCTGCTAAATTAAAGTAATTATAACTAAATAATGACTAGTTAATGCCAAATGAAAAAAGTGTGTTAAAAATGCTCAGCTCCATATGGTTCTGGAGAATAGGCAGTTTTAAGTCTAAAGTCCCCCTCATCTCAGCCCAAGCCATTACTATACAGCCTCATTATACAAAATAATTAAAACAAAAAACCCAAACCAAAGAGACTTCTCAAGCTGACTATGAAGGCAGCCTGGAAACAAAGATGTTCTGGAGCAAAATAGTCAGTAAATGGAAATCATATGAAATACAAAGGAAAAAAATAGAGTGATTATTACTACATGCTGCTTGATTGTTTCATACTGGGGTGAATGACTCCCAATATCTCTTCAGTTAAAAGTTACACAAAGGTTTAAAATTTACCAGGCCCACTGTTTAGGTACCAAGGAACACTAAACTGTTTGAAACATACCTACCAGTAATTAGGTGCTAGTTAATTTTATTTTCAGCAAAATTAATTTAACCTATCCAAAAAAGATAAGACATCTAAGGCCTATCAAGAACTATTCATAGCTAAACGAAGGTAAATAACAAGTAAACACCTGCTGAGAAACTGACAGAGGAGCTTACGTTCTACACAGTGAAAAACCGAAGAGCCTATCAATAACTATTAAACTACCTGTAATTTAAGACTGAAATAAATCCATGTAGAGACAGAAGATTTCTGATTGGGGCATTCAAATAAATGGAAGGCCAGTCTCTCAAAAAGGCTAGCAATGCAACCTTGATCAGACAATGTGTAAAGGGCTAGCTCAAACCAGCAAGCAAGCAAGGAAGACTGCATATCCCAAAGGGTTAGAGAGCCTGTCATGCTCCAACCACATGTCCAATTACCTTCCTCCCACAGAGAAGAGAGCAAGCCAAACCTTAAGAACTGATATTAAGGGAGACTTACTTTTCAGCCATTTTGGTATCCTTCAGAATGTGGACATAAATGAAGAGGGCTTGTTCATGCTTCCCCATACGACCCAACAATAGGGCACGCTCTTCCAGGAGCCCTGGGTCAAGAGAATGAATGATTAATCTATCCCTGCTTCAGATATATGACCAGACAACCAGCTCCATTATGGAAAAGAACAAGCAACTGGACAAGGTTGTGGACAGAAGCAGCAACAGAGTTAAGAAAAGTCAGACTGATGTCTGAACAATGGGTGAAATGATACTGACTAGATCAGGAGTGGCCAACCTTTAGCACAGGCAGTTTGCATGTGTGGAACACAGGGACAGGCAGCAGGGGTTAACAGGGGCAGGGAAACAGAAAGCAGCACAGTCAGTTGGACAGGGGAAAAGGATCAGAGCGGCACTTAGGGAGGGCGTTGGGTTAATCTATGGCACACCTGTCAAAAAAGTTGTCCTCCACTGGACTAGATGACATCAGGTTTCCTCAACATATTTATGAGTTCCTCTATTTATTTTAATGCTTGGCACCAACATTTTCTATTACATATGCTTTCTCCAGCAACAGGCTTAGGATGCTCCAAACCCCAATGTTTGTTTAGAGCACATGAAGCTCACCTGTTTCAGAGGGAAGCCAGGCATTACCTCATCTCAGGCCAACACAGATGTAAGAGGGGAATCCCACTGTGCCTGGTACTCACTGGTAGAGAGCAAACTTTTGACAGCTACTGACCTACTAGTTCTTTTCCATTTCTAGTTACCATGGTCTTTTTAAAGGAAGAACAATTGAGATTTTGCTGTGCAGAAGAGAAACTAGGGTTCAGATGGAAAGAAACTAGCTTTGCGTGACTAACCACTCACCATCAAAAGGGAAGTCACTGATAAGACGGCTAGGTTCGTAGCAACTAGAAATCTCAAGAAAGGCAAGGAGCTTTCCCCGGTATTCCCCCAGTTCTCCTTCCTCTTCTCCAGCAGGCAGTGGAGTTTTATCTATAGAAGACAGACAAAAGAAAAAAAAAAAACCCAAAAAGTTAGTACTGTACAACTTCGCCATAATAATGTGGAACAGCAGCAAAGTATATATCCTCCCCAAATTATTCTGAGTAAAGAGTCAAATGCTGTTTAAACTGCCCTGGGGATGAGGTGCAGAAGAAAAGCTGTTCATGAATTTTACAAAGCAGTAGAAAATAGACTTTGATTATATGCCAACAGAGAAGATAGGGCAGATTATGAAGTGAAGAATGCTTCCCTTTTTGTAACTTGCCAGGATTCATGCAAGTCATCTCAGCTCCATAAGGCCAGGACAACAGTACCTTCTATTTCCTAGAGTTCCTTTAGCATAAGAAATTAAAATCTCCATATACTTTCACTATTTGTGCAGTCCTTTTGAATGACAAGACTGCTCTTTTTTTCCCCTTTGATGTGCAATAGTGAATGGAATCTTAAATTTGGGAGATCTTAAGACTACTGTCCACTACTTTCCCTTCCTGTGTCATTGCCAACATGTTGCTGCAGGGCAAAGAGGAGCAGAGGGAGGTACCTGGAGGGAAGGTGCTGAGATATTTCTTCATTAACCCCTGCACTCTCTCACAGTACAGCTGGATCAGGCAGTTGTGGAAATCTGAGCCAGTCTCCTCCCAGACATAGACGATGTGTTCCTATTAATGCACACACATGTTCAAGGTAAAAAAAGCTTCCTCTTTCTCCAGGAAGTGCTTTAACAGACTGTAGATAACAATTCTATACTCTTGTAAGGTAGTTTATGGGCAGATGTTCTGTTTGAAGCACTCCAAGGCTCCATCCACACATGCATGGATGTTTGGTTCCCTGGGGACAACTAGCGGCAGCGCACCTTGTGCCACTGCTAGTTGCCCCTGGGGAACACCTGTGCCGCATGTGCTCCAACACAAGGCAAGTTACCCCGGATGGGGTAGAGAA